AAAAAAAAAAAAAAAAAAAAAATCACGTGCACGGTGTTGGTACTATTCGTGTGAGCAATGCGCGTTACTATTCCCATGAACAGTGACCGCACTATTCTTATAAAAAAAATACAGATTTTTTTCTTTTAAATGATAGATATTAATGATTGTTCTAAATAATTAAATAACAATTTTAGAACTTGACTCCAAATTTTTATTTTACATGTTTGTATGTTTAATTCTAGCTTTCGGATGATGTTTTAAAATATACCAATTAGAAAATTCATATTTTGAAGAGGTTTCCAAGTTCAATTATTGTTTGAGATTTCTTGATTTGCTATTTGTAAGATTGAAAAACTTTGTCAAAAAGACTTAAACTTTCGAAGAAGAGATTTGGATTAAAACGGTCCACTTTTGACCTCCCCTCCTCATCTGGAAGCATTTGGTTGTGTGTTATTCAAATTAACAAGACGAAAAACAATATTTCAAAACTTTCCAAATTTAACAATATTCTATTTTTAAAAAAACTTTCATTTCGAGAAAATCCTATTTTAGAAAATTGAAAAAAAAAAAAAAAAAAACAAGTGGGGGGTTTAAAAAACTTTAGAAGTTTAAAGATAATGTAAAGTTTTAAATATACAATGTTATAAAGAATCATAGCCATGTGGCGCTCACTATTCGACACTCTTCAATCTATTCCGGGTATGAAATGATTTTTTTTCTAGCATGATTATGAGTCATCTTGCTTCATATTATGACATGTATAAGTATATTTACCTCGCATGATTTATTAGTTGAACAATTAGATTTTGATAAAGCAAGTCTTAATACATCAATATTGGACTCTTTTTGTAACTTGAAATTAATTAGAAGTTTTCGACTCGAGAAAAAGTTAATTCGAATAACTTGGTCTTGAGATATTGAAGTTTTAAGAAATTGTCATTTATTAGTTTTTAATTAAATTTAATTTTGATGAGAGGTAGCCATGAATATCTAAAGATTGATATAGATTAGCCTTTTTATTTGATTAAATTTGTATTTGAATAAAAAATCTGCCATCACTGTTATTAATTGGGATTAGAATAATAACCTCTACTAGGAAACCTATTCTATACGAATCCATTGACTGGACACGGCCACATTTCCATATTGCAATGAAATACTAGGTTATAGATCTATATATATTCCCATAAGTCAATAGAATTTTCACCACAGAATACTTGTACATAGTCACAATCAAGAAAAGTCAAGGCAGAGAGAAAGAACCATAGGAAAAGGGTTTTCACGTGCATTATTTTACATTCATTCACAACTTTTCAAATCTATCAAGATAAGATATTTTTTGTGCAAGCAGTTCATTTCCTTATATTATTATATTTAGTAATTTATGCATAAATTGTCAGTGAATTTTCGAGTTCCTTATCAAGAGATATGAAATTCTTCTAGAATTTAAAATGACCTAAGATGGGTGAGTCTTTGGCCACCGATATATTTAATAAGAGAATAGTGGCATGAAGTGTCTATTTTATTGGTATATAATTGTGTATAGGAATTGCACGTATGTTACTGAATATTTTTAAATGTTCACTCTTAAAAATTTTTACAGATTAGTTCGAGTCGATAGGAGTTGTGGTGGAATGGTGATGCGGACTATCAAGAGGAATTAATAAAATAAAAATCATTAAGTTTTTCTATCTTCAATTTATTAGTTCTAAGGTACGTTTATTAATTAGGTAACTAATTATATTTAATTTTTTTAGAAATTTCAAATTCCATGTTTTAATTGATATTTGTTGTTGAAAATAAAGTTATATTTTTATTTGTATTGTTTTCGCTTTTAACGTAAAGAAAATTTAATTTTTGGTAATACTCTAGTATTTATAAAATTTTAGGGTGTTATAGTTTAGTATCAGAGCCAAGGTTCTACTTCCCTGTAGATTCAAAAGAAAAAAATCACGTGTACTATTCCCGTTAACAGTGTCAGTACTGCTCATGTGAATGGTGAACATTGACTGTGCCGTTGTTATAAAAAAAATTATTGGGTTTATAGGCACATTCATCTTGATAACCACATTCCTTTGATCACCACCACCAATGATCATCCTAACTCTGGTTTACCAATTCACTTATTTGTCCATCGAAGTGTTCGCGACCTCTTCCACCCTCATCGGAAAAGGCCATGAGCGACTAATTGTGTTTCACCACGTATTACGTGGAAGTTATATTTTGTTGGCCACATGTTTGGGTCATTTTTTGAGGTCAACAGATTGGACCGTATGTGGGAAACGTTATTATAACCACGTATATCCCCGTA